GAAACAAAGAATAATAAAGAAGCCCTGGTCAAAGTGGTAAGTGCCGCGGGAGGGGGGGGGGATGAAGGGTTATACCGGTGGAAGTGGTGCGCGACAATGCGCGACACATTACCGCGACTCGCATGACGCCACAGCTGCCAGCACCGCCCCTCCCCCCCCCCCTCCCATTCATACAGCACCCCTTCACTACATACCACGTCACGTCCTCACTGGGGCAGGATTGCCCTCGTTTCGCGTACCACGTGACACGTCCAGCGGTGGTCACCATACGCCGATGCATGCGGTATGTGGTAAAACATAAGCTTAGGCCGTGTCCGAGTTGACAAATTCGTTATTTTGTATATTCTTGATTTGGTAGGAACTTATCGATTCGGACGTTGTCGACAGCCACTTGTTTAGCACTCGCGGCCATGCATCATTACATTAACAGTGAAAATTATTTTTATCTAGATTTGATGCCTATAACGGACGTAATATTTCTACAACCACCACTGGAATGCTACAAATGTGTTAATAAATAAGAAAATAATAAATTATGCAATAACAATTTTCAGAATATATAAACAAAGCAGAACACTTACCTGTTTTTAAAACATGCCTAGTGTATTTTATGTACACTCATTTGTTTTCAAAATCATTTTATTTACGCATTCGCGCATGTGTTTTTATAGTAAAAACATACATGGCGCTGATTTTGTCATTAACAAATACGTCACCATTTTTGTATACAAAATCGGGACACGCCAGTTTGTATGCAAAATCGGGACACGCCATTTTGTCAACAAAATCTGCCAATTCGGACACGGCCTGAGTTCACAACTGAGAGCATAACAGTAACCACAGAACATAGGGCATGTGCGCAAGAAGAATTGACCGCCTATCTCCAACTGCGCACAGACAGGTTGTGTGCTTGAGATTTTCTGACATAGTACACAAAGGAAATGGTTATGTTTCATTTCTTATGCAGGGTCATGGGAGAAAAGCAAATCGAGCAGGGTAGAAAATTTTTGACGAAGTTGTTTATTTGAAATGGAGAAACAGGAATGAATAAATGTAGCAAGATTTAAATTTAGAGGAAAGAATATATGGCAATGTACCAGAGGAATCTTTTTTACGGTTATCCACATCTTTACGAGCCCAAAAGCAAAGATATTAAAGAAAAGAAAAAATGAGAATTATTGAAAATCACTTTTCTTATTTAACACAGTATCCCAGTATGTTAATGAAATTAATTTCGTGTGTTTACAGACAACCAAAACTTTAAAACATTACTTGCCAAATATGTCAACTGACGTCATACTCTTCGCAAAATTGAATTGGCTAAAAATAATCAATTATTCAATTGTGAATCAATTTCGCATAATGATTCTGGTCGTGTGAATCCTCTGCTGTTGTGTCATATTTTATGAACCTACGTATCTAAATTATGAATCTACCCCTTAAGCCTGGTTCACATGTGCGCCGATCCCCCCCCCCCCCCCGAACAGACAGAGCGGAAAACTGGAGCAGCCAATCAGAAGCCGTCCTCTGTTTTCGCGCGGATCGCGCAGAAACCGAGGAAAGCTTCTGATTGGATGTTCTAGATTTCCGCTGTCTGTTCGGCGTGATCGGCGTACGTGTTAAGGCCCTTACACAATTGAAAACTTTAACATTTGACTTTACGATTTGACTTTACGTTTGTTTTCCGACATGTTGTTTCTTATGGAGCTTGACACAACAAAACTGTCAAAGGTAAAGTCAAGTACTCTTGACTTTACGATTTCGAAAAGTTGAAATTTCAAGTCAAAGTCAAGCAGCCATTTTGCCGAGAATCTAACAGAGGTTATGTGGAAATTTGCGTTATTTTATTGTAGGGCGATTTTAATCTCGGTATATTAAACAAAGCTCGTGTTAAATTAAATAAATGGCAAATGAATATAACGTGAAGAGGAAATATACGAACTGGCATATTTTAATAAAGTAAAACAAATTAGTTTTTTGGTTTTGAAATAAACTTTTAATATAAATTCTAAGCCTATATTTAAAAAAAAGGTACGTAAAATGCATTCTGGATAATATCATAATTATTTCCATAACGAGATACACATTTTTACGAAGCTGGCAGAACCGATGTTCAATTGTCTAAACTCTGACTTTACAATATTGTATTGTGTATTAGTGGTTTCATTACAGGAAAGGAGACTTAAAGTTAAATGCTGAAGTTTTCTATTGTGTAAGAAGCTTTAACTAGGTATTATTCTGTAGAGAGAATGTCGGGTATAGTATATAGACTAAAGATGAAGAATACTGATTCTTCGTCTTCTGTACACGTATTCAACAATGACCTACTCCAAATAACACAACTGTCAAAGTCACAAGGTCAACAGTGATAAATATGTTTGTTTATGTCTTAATTTTTAAAAGACAAGCACTTTTATATTAATAAGATACTTTTACAAATTTGAATTTAATCAAACTTCATAATAAATTGGCCAGAGGAAATATACAATTATCTCTGAGCACCTGTTTACTAAACAGTCTTCCAGCCTCTAATCCCATCCACGCTGTTGACGACAGTCGTGTTGCCAGAAAAACAGTTCAGCGTTGGGGCACGGAGTTTGGTTCTGCGCAGAAAGCGATATCGCTCTACATCCATGTTCACTCTACGCTCTCAGGCCGTGTATCAAACGGCCCAGAGACATAGACCAGAGATTGTTTATAGAAGGTCAAGACCCAGCAGTCCCTCAGAACCCTTGATACTAGCGCTTGGTATGGGTAAAACTTCAATTTAACCAAACAAAAAATGGGGTGTGGCTGTGTTGGGGAGACAGCCGTTTGTGTTGCATGAATACGTCTACGTTGACGCGCTCGGACGCCTTATGTTTATTTTACGTTCCCGGCACCGCTTCACTTGATCATATGGGGTTTTATGGGTATCACTGGATTGCTTTTGAGATGCTCTTTCCAACTGTATATGATTTCTGTATTTCAACTCGGTTTTTTGACGAGTATAGGCCGACATTGTGTTAAGTTTTCTTATTTTTTTACAGTAAACTTCTACAACTTCACCATAACGCCACCACACAAATGTTTTTGAACACCCAATCGATTGATCTTGACGAGAGCTGTCGATTGAAACTCAAACGAGCATCGTAGCTTCTCCTAGTCAAAAGTTATACTACGCGGAAGTTATGAAACACGACGAAACGAACTCAAAATTGCCCCCCCCCCCCCCCCATTAAAAGCCATGAGCGATGCTTCGCAGTCCTCACTCAACGTAACATATTCTTCCTTTTGCAATCGAGTGATGTAATTGAATTCTGAATGTAGGCAAAAGATTCGTAGCTGCAATGTCAAACTGTGTCCCCCGATTTTGTTATCATCGGATTTTCTGGATTGCCTCCCACTATGGTTGCAGATTTAAAGATGTATTCACGTCAATAAGGTACTTTTACTTTAACAGGAGTATAAAACGCTTTTGATGCATGGCATATAGGAAACTAGCGACCCGCCCCGGCGTCACTCGGGAGCGATTTACAAATACGGCGTTGTTTAAGGTTTACAGCAAGTATATACACTAAATGTTTAAGGTAACTAACATAGGATTAATACTGTGTTGTTCACAAAGTCTTCGTAAGTGAACCCCTAAAAGACAAAAATAGTTACTGTGGGTCATCATTAAAACATACACATATGCTGTCGCGGACTTCTATGTAGACCTTTTTGAGATCTACAATTTTGTAGTACATAAATTTGGTGTATATCTTATGGTTTAGTGAGCGTAAGACATGTAAGCCCCCGAAAAGCGGCTTTTTCCGATTTTATTATAAAACGTCGACATTTTTCAACTATCTTTACATTAACTATTTATGTATTATGCACTTAAACTTTCCTCAAGAAATTCTCTAAGTGATGGTTAAAACACAGACACACGCGGGCGGGCGACTTTGTTTTATACTATCTATAGAGAACAGAACACGCCATACATGGGGTGATTTTTCAAATATTGTATTCGAAAAGTGTGAAGAAACCGCGAATAGAGTATAGTAGGCGTGTCCGGTGTTGTGTGAACCAATAGGACGGCGGCAAATGAGACTGTAGAGTGCAAAGACCAACAGAACTGGTGTCCGAGCAGTCGTGAATATATGCGACACACTTCTGGCTTCACTGATTGTTTCTTCAATCTGTACCGCACTTGAATTGTTAAATTAACTATATATGAGACTGTAAACTGAATTTTTGTCTCTTCCACACGTCCTTGAACTGACAACCAGGCATGCTTCTCGCCCTGCATTATTTGATTTGTTCTCGAATATTCGTCCGTCATCTCTCCGCCGAGTATTCTTGCCTGGTTGCTCGTAAATTGCGTCTTTCCGGAGCGAAATACCAGCCACCAGGTCTCTTCACGATGGGCATAAGGGCTGGCCTCGCGGAATGTTAACAACATTAAGAACTTTCACACGTTTTCCATGTTTTTTTTCTGGACGACGAAATCCTTTATTAAGTTACTTAGCGCAGACAGGAGCTAACAACGAATGCTGAGGTTGCATTCAAAAGTAACTGTGAATCACACATGATTTTAGGCAATAGTTTCTTATAGTAACAAGTAGTGGAACGTTTGCTTGTCGAGCCCATAGACCAAAGATGAGGTAAACCGTTTATTCGTCTCCTGCGCATGTGCCCAACACTGACCTATCCCAGTCATACACAACTGTCAAAGTCACATGGTCAACAGTGATGAAAATGTTTGTTTATATCTTAATTTATAAATGACAAGCACTTTTGTATGAATAAAATACTTTTACTAATTCTTATTTAGTCAAAATGCATTACATATTGGTTAGAGGAAGTATACACACATCTCAAAGCACTTGTTTACTAAACAGTGTTCTAATATCAAATCCATTCCACGCCGTTTCTGCACGTCGTATTGGCAGAATAGCAGTTCAGTTATTGGGACACGGAGATAGGTTGTGTACATTCAGCGAGGTCAGTCTATCTCATCTTTACTCTATGCTCTAGCTCTTGTGGCCTAGTGGATAAGACGTCGGTATTCTAAACCGAGGATTGTAGGCTCGAGCCTCACCAAGGGCAGAGTTCAGTAGTTCTTTATAATCAAAATATATTACTGTTTTTGGGAGTTGATTTATTTGAGTATTGCATGTAGATGAAAATTACGCAAATGCGCGTAAAGCGGCACGGAAAGTAGCATACGGAAGCTATCTCTCTAGTTAATACTCACACGTAGTGAGTCAGGTTACGATTGGCGTCGTCGTTTGAGAGTAAGGAAACAACGGTGTTTCGCATTGGCTTGGAACCTGTAGGCCTACCTGCCTGTCTCTTGCTTTCCAGCCCCCCCCCCCCTTTTTCTCTCTTTTCTCCATAAACCATTTAATAATCCATAATTCTTAGCATGGCGAGTGCTGGGTACATTTCAATTTGTCAACAAGTATTCCAAAAACCAGCAAAGAGCGAAGGAAGTAGTTATGTTTCTGGTGTGTGAATAATCGGCTTGCAACGAACCAAGAAAAATATTTAAAAATAGTTTTAATATTCTGCGCAGAACTTTCACAACAATATATCCTATTTCCAGAACCATGAAGATATAAAGGAAGATAAAATGCAAATACATAACTTATATTTTTTAGTTTTTTTTTTTACAAAAATTATTTAACAATGAAACCACACTACTGAGATCGGCAGCAAAATGAAAATATTTTGCAAAAATTTCCAAAGGAAAATTTAACTACTAATAACAACATTTAAATATATCCATCAATAATGTTTGCCCTAAAAGTTTAATTGGACATTTGTGCCAATATGGTACACTTTAAAGAAGCTACAGTGAAAAAAAAAAATAATTACTCCCCTACCCTGGAGCTGAGCCAGTTCGACGTCTCTGATTGGATCAGGAGAATATCGCAGTTTCACTGGCCTGAAAAATAAACTTCGCAATTATATGCACGTTCAAATATCGCATCAGCTGTATGTTCATTGGCTGCGCTCCCATGAATAATCAGGTACTGCATTTTTTCTTGAAGGTCTGTTATTGTCTTAGATGTCCTCTCGGGCATGTCTTATAAACTGTGATCCAATAGCAGATGTGACTTTAATGTACAGGTGTTTGGAGTCTAGCTTGTCCTAAAATGTATTCACAATAACTTATACGAGGTGGAAAAAAATTTATATAAAATTCCTACACAATGTTAAAAATTTTCTACGGCCTACACAACATGAAAAATTTTCTAAGTCGTATAAATAATGAGTATTTTTTCTAAGTCTTTACACATAGTGCCAGATAGTATAAGTCCTACACCAGTGGAAGGAAAAAATTATATTAATCCTACATGAGTGGGGAGAAATATTCAGAGTCGAGCAAGTGGAGCAGGTGGAGTAAGTGGATCAAGTGGAGCAGGTGAGCAAGTGTAGAAGGTGGAGCAGGTTGATCAAGTGGAGCATGTGGAGCAAGTGAAGCAGGTAGAGCAAGTGGAGCAGGTGAACAAGTGTAGGTGGAGCAGGTTGATCAAGTGGAGCATGTGGAGCAAGTGAAGCAGGTAGAGCAAGTGGAGCAGGTGAGCAAGTGTAGAAGGTGGAGCAGGTTGATCAAGTGGAGCATGTGGAGCAAATGAAGCAGGTAGAGCAAGTGGAGCAGGTGAGCAAGTGTAGGTGGAGCAGGTTGATCAAGTGGAGCATGTGGAGCAAGTGAAGCAGGTAGAGCAAGTGGAGCAGGTGGAGCAAGTGGAGTGTGTCATTTGAAGTCATTTTAGAGTCATTTTGGAGTCATTTGGGTCATTTTAGAGTAATTTTGGAGTCATCTGGAGTCGTTTTAGAGTCATTTGGAGTCATTTTTTAGTCGTTGGAGTAATTTGGAGTAATTTTGGAATCTTTTGGAGTAATTCAGAGTCGTTTTGGAGTCATCTTGAGTCTAAGAGTCAAGAGTCAATTTTGTGAGTTGCCAGTAGTCAGTACTCCTGGTCAGCAGAGTTACTCATATTTTGTTTCGTATGTGTGAGGTGTGGTGGTCTGCATTTTTATTGGTATGGATGGTTGGTATAATCACGTGGTTTGTTTGATGGGTGTTACGATATTTGGCTGGTGTCTGATGGTAATGATGTCATGACAGACAGACATGCTGGAATTATGATTTTTGTTATATTTTTCTCAGTTTTTTAAATATATTTTTCTTTGTTTTGTGCTAATGGAAGGTGGGTAAGAGTAAGTGTTGATGTTTAGGGCCGTGGGATGACTGTGAGTATAACATGAAATGTTCTTAGATTTTTTTCTTTTTTTTTTTTGAGATTTTCTGTATTTTTAGGGAATTTTTTTCAATTTTGTTATAATTTTTTAATGAATATTTTAATAATTTTTTTTATAAATTGTTTGGAATTTTTGGGATTTTTTTTTGCATTTTTAAATATTTTTAATAACTTTCGATAATACGATATAATTTTTGTTTTATTAAAATATTTTTTAACAATTTTTTGTTAATGTTATAATTTTTTTTTACTTTTTAAAATTTTAATTAATATTTTTACATTTTTTGGGTTTAAAGTCAAGTTGAAGGTCACCCGGATTTTATATGGTGGTTGAGTGACCAGAATAACAGAGCAGGAGAAAATTAAAGTCCTAGATGACAGTTGAACGAAACTGAGTAATTTGGAAACGAGATGGTGGTCGGATCCCCATCTTGGACCCTGGCCATATAAAAAGGGCTGATTTAGAGGGGAAAATGGTGCTTAGAGAGTAAAAAGGAAGCCCCATAAATTGGCTTAAATTCGATTTCGGGGCATATATTTGCACAGGAGGGGCTTCTACCATTTTTACAGAAAAAATGGGGGAAAATTTTTGAGGGGAAAAGGGAAATTTTTAGAGAAAAGGGGAAATTTAAAGTTTTTATGGGCTAAAACATGCGATGTTTTAATATAAACGGGAAAACCCTGATATGGCGACCAGAGCCCTACAGCCCGGACCCTGCCCCAGAACATATCAAAGCATACATACTACTCTGATGAAAATGCAAGAAAAAGTGTAGAGTAATTTACAACAATTATTAGTGGGAGATAAGAAAGTTTTTAATTTATGTTTTGCCACACAGAGGTCGAAAGTGTACATAACTAGCGTGTTTCACTACAATTCAAATTAATTGTTCATGTCATTAGAATAACAAAAACATTTAATAGATTCTTCGTAGGAATCGGTTGTAATTTGATATAATTTTTACCACAAAATTCAAAATACAGACAGTGAGATTTTTAAACTCTATTCAAAAGGAAACAAAGAGTCGGATTTGAAAGAAATCTCTCCAAAGCACTTGGGCTAAAATCAAACATTGAGTTTATATAAATTGTTGAAAATGATTGGCGAAATATTTACGGTTTTAATGTAAATAATTCAACTCTACAAAAGAAGATGTAGCTGGAAGTTACTTATATATATATATATATATATATATATATATATATATATATATAAGTAACTTCCAGCTATTATATATATATATATATTATATATGTATATATATATATATATATATATATATATATTATATATATATATATATACATATATATATATATATATATATATATATATATATATATATATATATATATATATATATATAATATATATATATATGTATATATATATATATATAATATCCAATTTCTCTCTCTGGAAATTAAATGGGCTAAACAAAGTTCGTTAAGGGATGGAGGTCTTAATTAAATGAAAGTGTTAGTTATAATTTTCTAATTTTATTTACATTAACTTCAAACAAAATTCTCCCGACTCAACATCTTACAATAAATTGATATCACTTGCTGTTTACAATTAATAAATTCAATTTATACTATTTATAATTACCTCAAATAAATCAGTGAAATTAAAGAATTAAGAATCAATCCAAATAGACAGTATATTAACCAATTCAATTATTTTCTAAATCATGTGTCCATATTTGACAGTACAAATATTTACAATAAGATCTGTATTACATGTCCACTCAGTAGGCAGTAATAGAACTTGGACCTTCATAGCAGTAAGGGTCTCCAGGTCTTATAATTTACTTTATCAGTTTGCTATCGTGATATTATCTTGATATAAAACATGGAGTCAATGCTCCTTAAAGTTTTTAATGTTGTCTTATGCAGCAGATTTTGTCCAGCTGGAGTAGCTCCCAGTTCCCAGTAGTGGCTACCCAATGTTGTTAACAATGTCTTTTGCTTGTGCCACTGATTAGCCCCCTGGGTGCTAATATAACCACTGCCAGCACGAGTCCTTTCCCTCCGTGACCTGGGGCCAGGAGAACCAACTACCCGGACTCACACCGTGCTCCTCCTTCTTTTTCATGGCACTTGTGGGTTTTCCTGAGGCTCCGCTCACAGGTAACCATCATTCGCGCCAAGTCCCCGTCGAGAGACTGCTCCGCACAGGCACCGACTCGTCGAACCTCTTGTCCGTTTCCTTAGAGATGGGTAGTATTTTCAATACCTGTTATTATGTTCCTAATTTCTGGAAATACCTGTTACCATAACTGCCTGTTACTGAAGCAGCAACAATCACACGTATTCACTTGTTACTCGACACTCTACGATATCATTTCGCCGTACCTGTTCCTATAGGTATCCAATACTGCATCCCAAAAGTATTTATGGACGAGAATATTATCTAACTTCATTTTGAACAACAATCATATTCGCAGTGCCAATCCCGCGCTGATGAGAACACTGGAGTCGTGTTTTCATACCAGGAGGCTATGCGCTACATAGAGGTAGCGAAAAAAAAACCAGTGCTAATAACAGGTATTCGAGAACAAGGTGAGAGTGGAACAACGCAGCCTAGCACACTGCTTACCCATACATAACAGGTATCCTGAATAAAAGGTATTAGCAACAGGTATTGACTGGGAACAACAACAGGTACGGGATATTCCTGAGAATTACTGGTTTAGCTCATCTCTGGTTACCATATCTTTGGGTTCTTCACTAAAACCCATACTTTGGGCCCCAGTGGCCTGACTCTAAAGGAGTCAACCAGCCCACCGCCATTCCAGGCCATTGCTATCCGCCGTAATAAGACTTTCCTGAAGGTAG